ATAGCAGCGTTCCGCCACGGGCAGGTTGAAGTGCTCCTGCGGCGGTTTCGGGTTTAGGGTTTAGGGTTTAGGGTTTAGGGTTTAGGGTCTAGGGTTTAGCGGCTATAGTCTAAACTCCTTAAAGGGGGGTATATAGGGGATTATATAGGGGACTATTATAGGGGTTCTTAAGGGGGATACTAGGAGTCTAGACAATGGCTCATATGTCTTCTAGGGGCCAAAATAATCACCAATATCATGTTGAGGTCTATGAAACACCCTATAGTATAAGAATACAAGGAGTCTGGTACCACATGTTTATTAGTTATTAAGGCTTCTACACTCGTACTGAAAATCTTGCCTTGCTGTTACATGGTGGGTTGTCAAAATTGTGTTGCCATTTTGGGTCCAATGCGGCCCCCTCATATTCGCAGCACTCACAAAGTGGCCATACCTTTGACCATTTTCCCACACGTAGGCGAACATCACTGTCATTGCTTCAAATATGCGGTTTAGGGTTTAGGGTTTAGGGTTTCCTGAAATCTATGATCAGTCTTACTATTGAAACTGTCAAACCGCGCTGCACGACAGAACCAACTCTTGCATGCCGTCCATGGAAGCATCAGCCAGTGAACGCCACATAGCTTCGGTCTCTGGTGTGAGGGGCAATTCCTGGCTTGGAGAAGTGATGTAGGATTTAGGGTTTAAGGTTCAGGGTTTAGGGTGTAGGGTTTACGGTTCAGGGTTCAGGCTTTAGGGTGTAGAGTTTAGGTTTTAGGGTTTAAGGTTTAGGGTTTGGGCTGATTTGGGGGAAGTTCCAAAATTCGACTTCCCTTTGTCGGAGGGAGCCTTTGTACTAAGAATTCTGCTGTTTTCAAGGTCTATTAGGGAAAAGCCCGAATTTGGGAAAACAGCAGTTCCCTACACCCCTAAACCCTAAACCCTAAACCCAATTTGGGAAAACAGTAGTTGAGTGCGGGAGCCTCCAAGAGATCGACGGCCTGCCAGATGCTCAAATCCACCACATCCAGTTGGTCTTCCACATATGAGCCATTAGGGTTTAGGGTTTAGGGTTTAGGGTATTGTCTAAACTCCTAGTATCCCCCTTAATAACCACTATAGTAGTCCCATATATAGCCCTCTATATAACCCCCATTTAAGGAGTTTAGACTATAGCTCATACAAGCAGGCATCTTAACAATACCAGTAGTGTGTATATATAAATATATATATATACATGTAACTGTGAAATGCTTCGATATTACCTGGTCATAACTTGGGCTTTTCCTATCCAGCTTCAAAGTGGATGGCATTTCCCAGCCTTGGCATATTGTCCCCGTTCGAGACAGGAGCCGAAAGATATGAGACCCTCATCCAGTTCATACTCCACCTAGCAGCGGCGTGGGATTGCTTCAGGGCTGTGTCAAGGTGATGAGAGAAACGGCATGAAACCTACTAACGTGATAGTAACAAAGAAGAAGAAGAAGAGCAGCTGCAGCCGCACTCTGAGGCGCGAGCCATGTTGACGCCCTCGTCTACGATGACACACGTTCGGCCGTTGGAACGCTCGATGTCTTCGATGTCGCCCTTGATCTCGTGCAGCGTCACACGGTCAGGAGCATTGATAGAGTACCACACGCAAAGCTGACCTCCGAGGCTTGGCCAGGTCCAGGAAAAGAGGTAGGGTTGAGAGTTTAGGGTTTAGGGTTTACAGTTTAGGGTTTAGGGTTTACAGTTGGGGGTTCAGAGAGTTTAGGGCTTAGAGAGTTTAGAGAGTTTAGGGATTAGGGCTTAGGGTTAAGGATTTGGAGCTTACTATGCCCCAAACTACTCGAAATTCACAGTGTGGGGAACCCCCTACATACACCCGCCTCTGTTCTGCGCCACGACCACGTCGCTGTCAGGAACCCACTGGACGTAGTTGCAGTAATTCAGCAGTGTCACCTGAGTAGCGGTTGTTTGGTGGTTGAATGATATATAGTTCTGCTTAAGAAGGATTTGGGGTTAGGGTTAAGGGTTTAGGGATTAGGGCATAGGGTATAGTCCCACTTAAGTAGATACAATATGGGGTATAATCTGGGGATCTTACTATAATGTACCCGAAGCCATACCCTATCTACTCAAGGGGGACTATAAACCCTAAACAATGAGGCCCTGAACCCTAAATAGTGGTTTCCATTTTCCTTTCCATGATCCTAATATAACCCTAATATTCTATCTACTTAAGCGGGACTGTAAGCTGACTTTCTTCTCATCAAGTCCTACCGTGTGGTCAAAAGGGGGACATAATCTGACAATATCTTGGGGACTCTAGTATTAAGATACTCTGCGCCTGAGCTTCTGGCTGTGGCCCTACTTGGAGGTTTGTTTTACTTATAACGTACTTAGTAACTGTAGTTATAACCCCATTATATCCAGGGTAACTGTAGTTATGGGATTTACAATTGGGTTATAACTACAGTTACTAAGTAGGTTATAAGCACAATGAACCTCCAAGCAGGCGTTTGGCTTTTGGGCCCATAGATGTAGGGCTTAGAGATAGGGACCCGGGATGTGAAGGCAACAGCAGGTTTATGATTAGCATGCTGCTGCTAGAACAGGTATACAATGCATCTCACTGTCTGCTGAGTTTTGGGAGGCATGTCTCGCAAGAAGGATGTTGGACCCTGATCCCCAAATCCTGAACCCCAAACCATGAACCCCAGAACCCCACACCCCAGAACCCTAAAACCCCAAACTCTCAACCCCAAACCCTAAAACCTAAACCCTAATACCCCAAACCATAAACCCTAAATCCTAGACCCTAAACCCTAAAACGGAACAACCCTAGAACCTAAAACTCAAAACCTGAAGCTCCAAAATCTTACATCCTCTTTCCCGACCCCTTTAGCCCGGATATGGCTGAAGCTTCTCGAACTGAGGCGCCCGTTCAAGGATGGGCAGGTATAATACGAAACACGGTCAAGATTCAGGGTTTAGGGTGCATGTACTTGTTACTATAGGTGGATATTGGTATCAGCGGGATATGATCTACATTCGCAACTTCAGTGTCTTTCTACCTACGTCCAAGGCCTATGGTTTGCCGAGCCCATTTGCTGAGTTCCGCAGGCCCAAGCAAGCTATACTTTCTTTTATTACAACTGAGCGTCAGGAATCTAACAGGGCGTCGGGAATCTAAAAATGAAGAGTCTATCGCCTCGCGCCAGGTGAGAACAAACAAGGAACCATGAGGAAATTTCACGCAAAGAGTCTTGCGGGGTCTTCAATCACAGCCAGGGTTGCAACCGGAGCGCTGCAAGGGAAGAGAACCCAAGCATGCAACTAGGTTGCTGTTAAGGAACTTAAACTAAGTTACTACAACAGGGAAGCCCTGTTGTTTACTATACCCTAAACCCTAAACCCATAACATGGTTAGTCATTTTCAGTTCCTTACCAGCAACTCAGGCAAGGGAAGATAGGCGGCCTTGGACTTGATTTCAAGCATTTAGTGTTTTGGGTTATAGTCCCCCTTAAGTAGATAGAATATGGGTTATATGGGGATCCTGTTATAATATACCCAAAGCCCTATTCTATCTACTTAAGGGGGACTATAAGGGCTTGAGGTTTTCCAGAATAAAATGAAGGCCCTGAAGTTCTGGAAAGTCGCACATGCAGTTCGGCAAGCTATTGATGGGGCATCTTCGTGCTTAGCTGAGGTAAGGTTGGATGTTTTGGTACAGAGCTATACCCAAGACAGAACACAAACTTAAAAAATCCCTAAGCCCCTGAACCCCCTAAACCCTAAACCCCTAAACCCCTAAACCCTAAACGCAAAGTCCGCCAGGCCTTTGCCAGCAGAGCTTCATCGATGCATCTTCCGTAGTCGGCCACTCCTTCCACGAGCTCCTCCTCCTTCTTCTTCAAAGAAGAGAACCTTAGGTTTATATAGGGTTATATAGGGGTTTATATAGGGTTATAGGGGTTATATAGGGATATAGGGGGGTATAGTTAGAGGGTTTAGGGTTTATGGACATCAAGAAGAGAACCTCTAGGGACTTTAGGAGGGACCCCTAATAGGGACTCTTAATCAAATTACCATAGATTCATTTAGGGTTTAGGGTTTACGGTTTAGGGATGTTAGATTCTTGAAAGAAGAGAACCTTAGTCTAGGTTGGCCCCTAAAACCCTTTGAACAATATTAGTATATAGGGTCCCTTATTAAAGCCAATAGGGAAGATATGAAATATCCCAGAGGGAGAACCGCTAATTAGGGACTTTAGGAGGGACCCCTCATAGGGATCCTTAATCCCATTACCATGAATAACCCTTATATAACCATTATATAGCCCATATATCCCTAGGTAGTCCCCATATTAGCAAGTATAGTCTAAGGGTCCATGTACCCAATAATTTGGTAATCGGGATTTGGGTAATAGTAATTTTGGTACAGGTGTTGGGTAAGTAAATGATTATTGGGTACTTGGACCCTGAGGCTTAGTTGCCTTTAATCTAAGGCCTAGTTGCTGAGTATCCTGGCCCCAGAAGAAAGTTAAGTTGTCAGCGTAGTCAGCTTATGTATATACAGCCCCCTAGACCCATACCTTAGGCCACACGGCTCAAAGTAGCACAAAATCCGTTCATAGTATGGTCTTTGGGCCCAAGGGCCGCAACATATAGGTCCTAAAAGCCTTAGGGTTTAGGGTTTAGGGTTAGGGACAAGGTTGAAAGTTACCTATTCCCTGCTAAGCAGGGCTATCAATGCACAGTTCCTTTACGACATAAGCAACATCACTTACTGCGGCTAGTATATAAGGATTTCATAGGGAGTATATTCCCTTATTCCCCACCCTAAACCCAAGACCCTATATCATGTAGGGGCTATAACGGGATCACGAAGAACCAGTAAGCTAATTCATGTGGGTTATAATCTAACTGCCCCCTATACTATTCCCTTATATGATCCCCATATAACCCCTAAAACCTAAACCGCCTTTGAGGAGTTTTTAGACTATAGCTCATGGGCCAAAGGCCAACCCAGGCACAGGATCTCGAAGGCATTTACGAGGTCAATTTTTACCTTGCTGAAGCCGTTCCTTAGGTTTAGGGTGTAGGGTCTAGGGCTTAGGGTGTACTGGAGGTTAGTAGAGAAGTCGAGTTTAGGGCTTAGGGAATATATGTATATATAGATATGTATATACATGAGATATGTATGTATATATATATATATACATATAGATATTTGTAAAGTTTAGGGTTTAGGCTTTAGCGTTTAGGGTGAGCAGGGAATAAGGGAATAAATTAAACGAGAAGTATATTACATGGGGACTGTACTCCCTTATTCCTCACTAACCCTATAGCCCAACCCTAACCCCAGCCCTACACCCTAAACCCTAAACCCTAAACCCTCAACCCCCTTACTCCTTACAAGACTCTCCAGCGGAAGCAACTCGGTCTGCTTCCTGGCAGGGCTCCCTTGTAGACGAGTTGCAGCCGTCTCCAAAGCCTGCTTAGCTGCTGTTAAGTAGCCAAAATTAAAACCAGGGTTTGGGGTAGGGTTTAGGGTTTAGGGTTTAGGGTTTAGGGGTAGGGTTTAGGGTTTAGGGTGTAACGTTTAGCGCTTAGGGGTGTAGAGTGGTTCAACAGGTTGCTGTTAAGGAGCCAAAACTAAGGTAGGGTGCAGGGTTCAAAGCTTAGTTTGCTGTAGGATTGTTTGGGGTTTCCTTCTAATGTCCACTAAACACGGAAATCTAATTTAAGCTCCCTGAACCCTACACCCTAAACCCTAAACAGGGCCACCACGCCTGCTTCATGGAATGGGAGAGCTGCTGGAAGGCCACTCTCCTGGGTTGCTGTTAAGAAATCTAGCTTAAGTTACTATGCAAGGGAAACCGTACTAGATACTATATATATACCCATTATGGTGACTTAATTTTAAGCCTAAACCCTTAGCCCTAAAGTCTAAAAACTATATACCCATTATGTTCCCATAATTTAAGTTCCTTAACACAATCCAGTCTCACGTTGACCACGTCATGACCATGGTGAGCCGCTCCCCGCGGAATCACACACCTCTGAGTGAGGGTTTAGGGTTTGGGGGTTAGGGCTTAGTTTCTGTTTGGTTGCAAAGCCTCTGTGTTAAGGGTTCAAGGTTTATGGTTTAGGTTTCCTTGCCTTTTCCTGGGGAGTGTAGCAAAGGGGCTTGGGGTTCAGGGGGATGCATATAATGATTTTTTGAGCGCACATAGGACTAGTTCCAGCTGGTTCTTGGGATTCTGAACCACGGCAATAAGTAAGCCACCCCCAACCCTAAACCCTAAACCAGCATTTCTTAAAAGCAAAAAGTTTTCAAGTGACTTCCAGACACTCCGTGCAAATACACTCCACACAGGTCTGACAGAAGAACTGAAGAGGTTCACCTGGGCTAGGGTTCAGGTACAGAGCTAATGCAAAGGAAAATGAAAGCTGCAATTTCAGGGCTCAGGGTATGGGCTTTAGGGCTCACGGCTTAAGGTTCAGGGGTGGCTTAATTACCTCTGGTTCACAGGGAATGAAGACAGAAAAGACAGTGCAAAGAATTGAATGGCTGGAAGTATAGGGTACTTTTCGTAGATAGGGGTACTCCATATGAACCCCCAAATGCTACAGTCCTTACAAGGACCCCTGAAATTGTACCCCTAATTTTGGGGAAGCCCTAGACCTTAATCCCTAAACCCTACATAACCCTATGTATCCCCTATAATCCGCATCTGGGGACTATAGCAGGGATGCGCTTCTGCATTCTTTGCCAACGAAAAGTAAGGTTGAGGAACGTTCGGGTTTAGGTTTAGAGCTAAGTCAGCATGATGAAGGTATGGTAAACAATGTAGTTTGCAGTTTCGTTCTGATGATAACTTCATTTACCTTGCTTAGGTCCTCAAACCTCAATATAATCTCTACATAGCCCCAATTTGAATTTCGTGCCTCACTTGACTTTCCATTGTGTTAACTTGAAACCCTAAACACTAAACTGAACCTAAACTTTAAGCCCCCCACCCCTAAATCCTAAACCCAACTAAACCCTAAACCCTATACAAACCCGTTTTCGTAGCTTCCATTTTCTTTTCCATTATCCCGATATAACGCCCATAAACCTCTTTTAAAGGGTACCCCCTCACTTAACCTGAGTTCCTTAGAAGCAATCCAGTGACCTGCATGCTTTCGGCAGGTCATACTCGTAGAGGGCTCCAGTCGCTGAGGACTTGAGACAATTGCCTGGGTTGCTGTCAAGGTTCAGGGTAGGCACCCTCTAAAAGGGGCTTATAGGGGCTATATAGGGATACTGGAAAGATAATGAAAACTACAATTAAGGGTTCAAGGTTCAGGGTTGAGGGTTTAGGGTGTGAAGGGTTTAGGGATGAGGGTGCAGGCTTGAAGGTTTGGGGTGTCAAGGCTTTAGGGCACTTAACACAAGCTACCAGAGTGGGTCTCCTTTAAATGGGGCTTCAGTGGGGTAATGTTGTTATACAATTATGTGGGGATACATGGGGTCTGGGTTGCCGTTCTAGGATTCTAGGAAGCCACATTCCCTACTGCATGTTCTGACTTCTGTCCCCACATGTGACACCAAACGTAAACACTCACCAATATTCCTCAAGAACCCCGTATACACGCAGCGAGAAATATGATAACACCCCACACCAAATCAAACATATGCGTAACCCCAAGCCCTCTAATTCACCACATACCCAGATCTTATGGTAATATCCTTTAAACCCCTTACACCCTAAACCCTAAACCCTAAGCAACCCAGTTGCAGGCGCTTTGTCCTGCGGTATTGGTACAAGCTGGTGATCGCGCATGCGACCGCTTCGGTGCATCCTCGCAGCGCACTTGCCTTACGTGCTTTAGGATATGGGGTTTAGGGTTTGGCGTTTGGGGTTTAGGGTTTAGGGTTTAGGGGTTTAGGGGTTTAGGGGTTTAGGGTTTAGGGGTTTAGGGTTTAGGGGTTTAGGGGTTAAGGGCGTTAGGTGTTCAGGGGTTCAGGGGTTTAGGGGTTTAGGGCTTAGAGTTTAGGATTCAGGGTTAGGGTTAGTTCAAGTACCCAATAATTAGGTCCTTGATTTTGGGGTAATAGTAGTTGTAGTACAGGTTTTGGGTATATATGGTTATTGGGTACTTGGACCCTTAGGGTTAGCTCCTATCTGTGCTGCTGTGGAAGAACCTAAAATTGAGGTACCGCAATGGAGAGATGTGAAGGTATATATATATATGTATATGTATGTATATACATGTATGATGAAAGAAAAGCGAGTATCTAGTAAATGATACGGGCTTAGGTCTCAGGGTATGCAAATCGATGTATGCATGGAATATAAACATATGAATATAAGTACTGATCTGATAGTGTGCTTTCCTCGTTGCTGTAGCTGAGCTTATTCCGCAACAGAAAACCCAGCCCTTTCTCCCAGGAAGACATGGGGATCGGGCCCTTGGGGACCCCTTAGGATGCAAGGGAATAGTTGCCAAGGAAATTAGGAGGGTCTCGGTTGGAAGCTCTACACGGATTTCACATCTCCACGGAACAGCAACCTTTTTCGCGGCTGCGTGGGGAGTTGTAAAAGAGCAGGGCCCCGCATAGGCACCACCAAGTATTGTAACCCTTACTGTTGTTATCAGGATCCTGCAAAAAGGATCCCTGAATTGCTGCAAACCCCGGATAAAGAATCCCAATCCTCCAATAAGAAGTCAGAAGGATTCACGGGGTGGGCCCGAAGCCCCGAACTTGAAATCCTAAACCTTAAGCCCTATCAACCCTAAACCCTATTAACCCCCAACCCTATGAACCCTAAACCCTAACACCTAAAAGCTAAACCCTCAAACCCTTAATCGACCCAGTGGCTGCAGAAAATCTCTTCACATTGGCAGCAGCGCCTGGGTTCCCCAGTAACCCATTTATTATAAGGGTGCCCTATTTCCTACTGTGCAGCTTTAATAAGGAGATCCCAAACTGAAAAGGGCGAAAGGGTACGACTGGAGTACCTAGCGCTAAACCCTAAACCCTACAATTACCCAGGCGCAGTTCCGCGAAGCTGACTTGGCATTGGCCACATTGGAGCGTATCGATCTCAAGCTTGGGGCTGGGAAGCTCTGATACTCCAGGTTCCTTTAGGGTTTAGGGCTTCGGGCAAAGAAGGGGGATGTAGAGGTCCTTGGAAGGGATTGTGTAAGGTTCCTTTACAAGTGATTCATAGGGGTTACGTAGGGATTATACAGGTGTTATATAAGGTCTGTAAGTATAGTGGCAGAGAAATGGAAACTACCATTTAGAGTTTAGGGTTTGGGGTTGGGATTGAGGCTTTGGTTTCCCCCTGAAAGAAAAAGCTCAACGTAGGACATTGCTTGTTGGAGGACCAAATGGAAAAGTACATGAAACAAGAAAGGAAAGCTGGAATTATGTGGTGGCTTCTGGGGTTTAGGTTGGGGACCGTTGAAACGTGCAGGGTTAAGTTCCTAGAAAGAAGGGGCTCTATGGTGGTATATAGATAAATCTGGGTCAAGTGTGCATAAAAATGAAACATGCAAGCCAACAACAACCCAGGTTCGCTGTGCTCAGCAGGGGAAGGCACCGATGGCATAGAGGGTATGGGTGAGACCGTGGACCTCTCTTCCCCAATAACCGTGGCTAAAAAGGTTAAACCTCATTATAGAAACCCAAAAGAGACGCCATACCCTAAATCAAGTAAATGGACACATTGGCAGGGCTTCGTTTGTAGGATCCCCGTGACGGAGGCGTCAGACGCAATGCACGCTCCAAGGGCTTAAAAGCTTCTGCGGGTGACTTTGGCAGAAGGACCTGGGTTGTTGTTAAGGGTTTAAGGTTTAGTTAAACAGCTGAAATCAAGTTAGAGGCTTACTTCAAGTTACCATCATATGGGTATATATGGTAGAACATAAGGTTTCCTCCTTATCGTGAACCCTAAACCTTGAACACGATATACCCTTATTAGAGTAAGTTTCGTTAAGTTCCTTAACAGCGACCCAAAGACTGGCTCCTTTTGAAGCGGGCTCGCCTGCTGCACGGGCGAAATGGCGCGCATGAATTCCTGAATTTGTTCGGCGGCCCGTGGATCCACCTCAAGGTTTAGGATTCAAGGCTTCTTGCAAACGCAGACAATGGGCAAATAGGAGTTACTAAAGGAGTTACTGTAGGGCCTGGGGCCGGCAACGGAGAAAGATTCCTTTCCGTCATTCCCAGCTAACAGCCATTTACTGGAGGTTGGTGGGGAATACGGGAATACGCTATACAAGAATTATTTTCCCTCATTCCCCACAACCCCCAACCCTAAACCCTACCCCCCCAGTAATACCAGCGAGCCTTTGTCACAGAGGAGCACCGCGGACAGCAAGCGCTTGCAGATCCGGATGCCTCAAGCCTGTAATGCCCCCGGGTTTAAGGATTAGAGGGTCCTGGACCTACGATAAAAAAACACTACCTTGAATACTTGCTTAAGGCTGTACTATCACAAACATGAAAAGTAGACCAACAACTGACTATAGCTGTCTTAGACAATTCCTTCGGGCTAGGGGTTTGGGGTTTTGGGCGCTATACTGTATTACAAAAGCCCTAAACCCTGACAAATACGAAACTTAGTTCCCAAGGCGACTACAGGAGCTCCAGCCAAGCACAGCGAAGGCATAGCCGATGACCACAAACCAGCACCAGTGACACCTCTAGATTGGTTACTGCACCTCCCCCACCCCACCCCTGAAGAAGACGATATAAGGGATAATACTGGTGACCTTTATAGGGACTATGGAGGGGGATACCAGGGTTCTTACTTGTAGGGGTTAGGAATTTAATTTTGAGGTTTTAGGGTTTAGGGTTTGAGGGTAGTTTAAGACTTGGGGGTTGAGGGCTAAGCGGTTTTCAGTTGAAGGTTTAGGGCTACACGTGCTGTTGATACGAAAATCCTGCATTGCCGAAGTATATCATAACAGCATACCTCGCGGCTGCACCTACGAAGTGCGGGAAAGTCATATGACTCGGGCTCAGGATGAGGAAGTAAGCCTTACCGCATGTTAGGAAGTAGCACTCAGAGTTTCAGGGCTGAAGGTTGGCGAGTTAAGGTCTTAGGTGGCCATATGGGCGCAGGGGCCAAGCACTCCCGACAAACGAACAGGATGTCAAAACTGCTTAGCAGCAATGTTATGGCCGCTTTGCAAAATGTCCGGCAAGACATGTTACAGAATCAGTTTTTGCAAAGGGCAAGGGCTCCTGATTCATCATAACCTGCAGCTCACCGCTGCCCCATCTCAAACTAATGTGTTGCGATTTTACGCTGTGGGATTGGGCCAGGTCTTCGAAATCAAAAGTCTGGTAGCAGAGCGGTCCTGGCACGATCAATCTCTTGCACTTGAACCGAACCCACGAGCGCCTGTCCAGTCTGCGTCCGCGTCACCGGTCCTTGACCCCGATGATAACGGAATATGGCGCGCTGGGTAGATCAAGCATAGGGTCCGCCGCGCAATAGCACGGCTGCTGCGACCGCCAGACGTAAACCCCCAATCGATCACCAGTGCTTTGCGTGCAAAAAGACTGAAAGCCATTCCACGCTAAAGATATCTCTGAGACGGCATCTAGCAGAGAGTCCATGCACCTTTTCTTCCTTGTCAAAAACTTTGCCAGAATTTACTAAAGACCGGACTGCGGAGCTTGGCCGCAGCAAGTTGAGATCAGTTGCCGAATGGAGCAGCCCTTGCAAAAGGCTTGAGCAGCCAAAGCACGATTCCAGCATGTGTCACAGATCCGCAAGTTCATGAAAAGTCGAAGCTCCAGGGCGTATTCGAAAAGGGTCATGAGAACATCGCAGCGTAGCGCGCAGGATAACAAGCCTGCGCCTCGCCGCGTAACATTGCTGGCGTAAATCGACACCAACTCCACAAAGAGCAGCACGCAAGCGAAGCATTGGAATGCTGCTCGCGGAAGCTTTTGTCATCATACGAAGGCTAACCTGCTTTTGCAGATCTGCTGGAAAGCATTGAGCACAATACCAATACTGGGCCGGCGAAGATCTGCGGGCAAAGCCAAAGACAAACAACGCAGCGGCAGAAGTAGCCGTCCAATAGTTTGGCGACAGCGGGAAGCCGTCTGACGTGTAAGGCTGGTATTTGGTAGAAAGCCTATAGCTGCTCTGCGCAGGGAGCGTATGAGGCCACTGAGGCCCCGTCGAGCCAGGGAGCCATAGTCAAGATGCCATTCAGCAGGCGCACCGGATGAACAAGCTTCCGAATCACTTAGGGTCCTGAAAGATTGTTAGTCTACACCGCAGGTGGTGCTTTAAACGGGGCGGGGAGTGCGTACAAGTACTAGGGATATTTATAGGGGCACTATGCAGGGGTACTTGTAGAGATCATCTCCCCCACTCGCCATTTAGTACCAGTAAGTGCAGGGTTGGAGCGGCCCTACACTGCAAACCCTCATGTAGACTTGTGATTAACAACCACCCTCTCACCAATAGGAATTTCAACCATCCTAACACTAAGACCCTTAAAAGGAAGGGGTTTATTAATCACGGGTCTACATTAAATCTTCAACCCTCAACTCTAAGCCCAAACCCCTAAACCCTAAACCCCTAAACCCCGAAACCCTAAACCCCTAAACCCCTAAAACCCTAAACCACTAAAAGCCCTAAACCCCTAAACCCGTAAAACCCTAAACCACTAAAAGCCCTAAACCCCTCAACCCCTAAACCCTAAACCCCTAAACCCTAAACCCCTAAAACCCTAAACCCCTAAAGCCCTAAACCCCTACACCCCTAAAAGCCCTAAAACCCTAAACCCCTAAACCCCTAAAACCCTAAACCCCTAAAACCCTAAAACACTAAACCCCTAAACCCCTAAAACCCTAAAACCCTAAAAGCCCTAAACCCCTAAACCCCTAAACCATCACCTCGAGGTTCTGAAGTGAACATGCGATGCAAATCTCTTCAGAGTCGGAATGCACAGCGGCGGCGTGGCGTTCGCCATGGCTCGGTTTCATCTGGGCTGCTGTTCAGGCACTAGGTTTAGGGCTTAGGGCTTATAGGGTTTGGGGCTTAGGGTTGAGGGCTTAGGGCTTAGGGTTTAGGGCTTAGAGTTTAAGGTTTAGGCCTTAATCAAGGTTCAGGCTTTAAGGTTTAGGGGTTTAGGGCTCCTCCGTTAAGTTACTAAATTGATGGTGAGTTCCTCTTATGGCAACTTAATTGAAGTTCCTGAACAGCAGCCCAGTCAGCGCATGTCCGAGCTCAGCCACTTGCTTGCCACTGCTTGTATGCAGAGAAAGAGTACTCCTGCTCATCTTAAGCCCCGTGCAGGAATCGGCGGATGTGGAACTAGAGGAGGGCTTGGAACCATGACGCTAGTTACCTGTCACCGCAATTGCTACAGTTCAGCGGTAAATTCACCACAGCTAGTATATATAACCCGTAGAACTGTAAGCATTTGGGGTTAAGGTTATGTCAAGCCAAACAAACTTTCAGGCTTGTAGGGTAATGGAGATCCCTGATTACTAAACCCCTCCTTTCAAGGGCCTTAATCTTAGGATCCCCACACAAATCCCAATTAAAGAGAGGGTGTTCATGAATCTGGGGTCTACATTGAAACCCTAAACCCCAAATAGTAATTTCCATTTTCTTTTCCATTATCCCTATCTCACCCCTGGTTCTACATTACAATCCCTACCCTAAACCCCAAACTCTAAGCCCTAAACCTTAAACCCCAAACCCTAAGCCCCAAACCCTAAACCCCAAACTCTAAGCCCTAAACCCTAACGCCTAAGCCGTAAAATCCGCTTTTTTGTTACTTTGCGGTAACAGTCTTGCTTTTAGCTTGCGGTCGTCTTGTCGCACCGATCCCAACTGTAATTCGTAAGCCTCGGCAACAAGGTTACTTAC